AATTTGTCGATAAATTTCTATTCGAGTAATACGAGATAGGCTACGTTATATGATATGCAATATGCGTAATTAGAGCCGTTCGCGTCAAAGTTCACGTAAACTCGCTCGCTGAAATATCATCATTATTCTATACAATATCGAAGGTTACACGATAATCTATGTTTAATTTTATCGAAACGTGTCTGTCTCGCTCTCGTGAAAATTCATTCCCGAATTATTGCTATGCTAAAACACTCACGGGATATGCATGTTTGCGTCATTCACGGCATACAATTCTCGAATTACACTATTTCGAGCACCGACCGGTGACGCCGTTGCGGCAGATTACGTGTGCGTAACCGTGCGCTGAAACACATAAATGTATAGAGAGCAAAAGGCTTGATCTGTTGTATAAGTTTGTAGTTGACGTATATACGTCGTTGTATGTGCCGCATCCTCTCCATTTGTGAGCGCAGGAAGCTGTCCCGGGGCTGTTATCGGATGGCTCGACTCGATCGAAGAGCGAGGCTATCCCAAGCGAACGAAATAAGCGATTTCATTTTTTTCTCTACTCCTTCCCGCTCGATTCGCGGGAAGTCGTCGGGAGTCATGCGAATCCCCAAACATCGCGAGTGTAATTTTCCAAATTTCAAATAACCACCGCGGGGGAAGTTATAACGCGGGATTCACGGAGCGAGCTGCAAAATTGCGCCCTTCGCTCGAAGGCCGAACGTCTAATATTTGACGTGCCTCGACTCTATCGATCTCTCCTCCCCGCGACGGAAAACGGAGTGCCCTCGACGTCTTCGCGCTCCCCAGCTCGTGTCGTCTTTCGTCGATCGCGGGATTTCCCGCGAGAGAATCCCGTTCTCGTATCCGCGAATCCTACCCCGGATAAACGCACGGATAATAAACTGCAAGCCGGCAAAATAATCTCGTTACCGCGAAAATTGCGGCTAAAACCCGATACCCGCTGCCAACGAGTTCGCGCGACGATGACATCTCGTTTCCGCCGATAGGCAAAATCTCATAACCAAGTAGGAAACTCCGGTAACCGCGAGATTTTGGATTACGCGAGATTGAAACACGACGGAATGCACCTGTGCGTAATATAATATCGCGCTCCCAACGAATAACTCGCCGCGATAAACCGTCGAGAGGCTCGCGATTTTCAACAGCACCGATCTCGCCCGTTAATTACAGAAAGTGTCATTTAATTGACCCGCGACGCGTTTAATATCGTTGATATTCGAAATGGCTCGGCGGTTATTTAAGGAATCCCGTTGATTAATCTATCAGCGACAAGCGCCGCTAATCCTACGAGTCTTGGGCCGCAGTCCGATTCACGCTCACAACGTTTGTGATCATCATTTATCCTTCTCTCTAAATCTCGTGAAGCGAAATCTCACTCGAAGAGACTGAAAATTTAGCCTGTCTTGAAAAAAGAATGAAAATACGGTCACTCTTGTTCAAGAGTGGCAGATTTTCACTCTTTTTAAAGTGAGATTTACTCTTTTGGAATGAGATTCACTCCGAAGGAGTGAAATCTCAATCTCTTTTTTGGAGTGAGGTTCCATCTACCCTGGTATTACATTCCAAAAAAGGGATTGAGATTTCACTCCTTTGGAGTGAATCTCATTTCAAAAGAGTAAATCTCACTCTAAAAAGAATGAAAATCTGCCACTCTTGAACAAAAGTGGCCGTATTTTCACTCTTTTTTCAAGACAGGCTAAATTTTCAGTCTCTTCGAGTGAGATTTCACTTCACGAGATTTCGAGAGTTGTTTAACTTTTGGTAAACAACGAAGATAAAATGATTTTTATGCTCCTGCATATAGGATGCGGCAACGCTTCCTACGCGGCGGAAATTGGCGAGATAATCAATCAATTTTTCGCTTTTCCGTAAAAACGAAAGAATGATTGCCCAGGAAGGATAATGATTTCGCTGAAGTAATAAAAATTTAACTATTGTATATACAGATCTGAAAGTAATTGTTGGATCATTAAAATAATTATGTAAGATTCTCAAGCCGATTACTAGAATGTTGAAACTTTTTGCAGTACTACTCATCATACTTGAAATTCCTACGTAATTATTTTGATCCAACAAAATTATTTTCATATGTGTACAAGCTAAATTTTTAGATGATTCAACAAAATTTTTTCCGTGTATAAATCTGAAAATAACTTTGTTAATTATCAAAATAATTGTATAGGTCGCTTAAGCCGATTACTAAAATATTAAAAAATATTTTAGCAACATATATTGCTCATCATGCTTGAAATTCCTAACTATATAACATAATTATTTTGATGACCCCACAAAATTATTTTCAGATCTGTATGTAGCTAAAATTCTAGATACTTCAGCAAAATCATTCTTTCTGTGTGGCTACCGCCAACTTTCGTGGTGCGGCAAGCATCGCTACGTTCCATCTGCAAGAAGCATTATGTGTTATGAGCATGAATCGAACCTGGAGAGTCCCAACCTGGCCGATCTTCGTTGATCCCCGTTCGATTGATCTGCGTTTCAAATGGCTCGCCATCTCCGAAAACAAAACGCCTGTCACACGGTCAGAGTTTTCGCGAATGACAGGAAAGATTGAAATTTCGTATCTCCCTGCGGACTGATAAATCGAGTGATACGTTATCGTGACAGCGGCCTAAGGACTGCGGATCCGTGCCGTAAATCATTAGAATACCGCGGAATGGCACGCGCGGTACGAAGTCCGGGCATGTTTCGTCGACGTGTGACGAGGAACGACATCGATATTTTCGACACATATCTTTTTTAATCCGTTCGATTAAGCCGGGAATACTTCCAACCGAGTCTTCCCAACGCGAAAATAAAACAAACGATAGGTGTGATATTTTAGCGCCTTGATAGAAAAAAGTAGAGAAAAAGAAAAGGAAATCCCTATCCCCTGATTTCTCGCTAATGGAAAATTTTAGCGGCGCTACGGAACGAATTCACCCCCGTTTCTCGTTAAGGTACAATCGATTGAGCGACAAGGCTCGACCATTGCGTCAATTAACGAGCAAACAGATAAATTGACTTGGCGCGAAAGAGTGGCCGCTCAGTGAACATCCTGTTTCTCCTTCGGACGTTTCATAAACTGTGAAATTCTGCCGGTGCTTCTGCTTCGTTGGTCTTAGAGACCCTCTAATCGGAGTCGAGATATGAAACAGCCACTTTTGATTGATCCACCATGTTTGAACAACATCTGAGAGAGAGAAAAGGATAGAACAGAAAAAAGAAAGAAATAGTATATATAAATGTATATCCTTCTCTCTCTCGCGTGATTCGATGCTAAAACTGCAGATCCTGCATACAAAACACGGCTCGTATTCAGACTCTCATTAGAGGGTATTTAGTTGATCCTAGAGATACTCAAGTAGGAGATCGGTTACCGTTTAAATAACTTCTGATTGGTCTACTATATTCAGAACAGTGCTTAGAATAGAATGAGATAAATGCATAAGATAGAATAAGATGCGTGGATATCTCATTCCATCTTATACATATATCTCATTGTATCTTAAGCATCGTTCTGAATATGGCGGACGGTACACTGTTCAATTCATAACGTCAAATTATATCAAATTTGAGTTATTTTTAATGATTTTTGTAGATCGCCTATGGTTAACTAAACATCGTTAACTAAATATGAATAACTAACTCAATATCGTTAACTAAAACAATAGAGAGTTAAACGATTTAACTCGAGAAAATGTATTAAATTTGATTCAAATATTTAGTTTATTATTTACTAAGTGCATACGTTAATATGAACGTTGTTTACTTTGAAGCTAACTATAGAAATGAATTGATTTACATTTTGACACACATCGTATATGGGAGTTAAAATAATAAAATGTTATTTAACTCAAGAGATTGGATTGCCATTGCTCCTTTGATATCTAACAGTGTAGCCAATCTTTTATTCGAGGATCTCTAGTTGGTCCCAGCTTTTCGTGGGAAACGAATATGACTGGATCACCTTGAGGCCAAACCGCCTGATTCGATTGTAAATGGAATTGTCACGAAAGCGGCGACTGTTTCGCGCTGGTGACGAGCCCCGAAAGGTAGCAGGCGATTGCCAGGCGAAGTGGTAACAATAAGAGTTTGTAGTGGCCGATGATGCGTACGTTTCGCGCTAGTACAGCATGTGCATGTCTCTTCTTCTCTCGCATCGATTTACACTATATCTTGATATATATCTAACACACACACACACAAAATATTTTTGCGAAAAATTTGTACTCTGTATTTATGCACGTTTACGCAGCTTCTAGTGCACGCGCGTTCGCAATCACATACTCTCTTCGCCTTTTCTCTCGTTTTTTTTTTCTCGAACTGATGAATAAACCCTCTACCACTGGCGAAGAGTGCGTAATTCACTTGCGAACGCGACGAAGCACTTGCAATATTTTTTTTCGTCCTCCCCCTCGCTCGTGATGTGCGCAGACTTTTTTGCCTGTAGTTTGGCGTTGTTGTCTTGGCGTGACCCGATGAGAATAACGAGTGATTATTAATAACATAATGTATTTCCCGGTAAGCTCTGTGGTATGGATTACGTAGTAGTTAACGTGCGATGGCGAAAATCATCGCAAATGATTTGCAAGCGCGACAACGAACGCGCGGCAAATCGGTGACGAAGCGACGTGGCGAAGCTATTGAGTCTCTCGATTAAAATGTGTTGTAAATTAATGGACCAGTTTTTGTACTGTTGCAACAGCGCTATCGATCACGATGTTGACGAATACTTTTGAACGTAGGCGTATTGAAAATTTACACGGTGTAAATTGAAAATTTCCAAAGCCACCGTAATTATCTTATGTTTGCTTTTAATATTTTTTTAATTAGAGGTCAATGTTGACCATACTCAAGAAATCATTATAAATTGTTGAACTCGAACGGATCGCCGATTCCTTTCGCTATGTTGATCGTCACTGGATGATCTAAGTGCTAATATCCCATTATCATACAAATGCTATAATATGCGTCTCTAATATTTATAGGTGCAGCAGCCAATCTACGTAAGGAAGTGATTAGAAACAAGATCAGAGCCATTGGCAAAATGGCACGGGTGTTCTCCGTCCTGAGGTCAGTGAACGATAAAACAATCTTTAAATACATATAATATATATATATGTGCCCTGAAGTACTCTAATATAAAAATAATAGACTTGTAAAAGTTGATCCGAGACTCTCGACTCGTAAGGGTGGGATTTCTATACGAATTAAAATTTAAAATAAAAACGCATTATATATAAAAGGTGATATACAACTTTTACGACTACTTAATGATTTTTAATTATTTCATTGTTATTATAATGTAATTTTAATCTCTTCACAGAGAGGAGAGCGAGAGCGTTCTGCAGTTGAAGGGCTTGACGCCAACTGGAGCTTTACCGCTCGGTGCATTATCTGGTGGCAAAACCTCTCTGAAAAACGGTAAAAATTTTATAAAACAACTTTTGACATTAGCGTTGAGAATCATTGTAAGTTAATTTAGAATAATTAATTCTATTGTGAGGCAACGCGAAGATAGAAGAGAGAGAATACCGGATGTCCTAATTATATTACTTGTGGATAATAAGCATCTCACAATGTAATTTAGGTTTTGTAAACAGTGTGCCGCAAAAATTTTAGAGAATGTAAAAAGAAGCGGATTTTAGAAATAAGTAAAAAGGCGAGTGAGGTGCCAAGTAAGAAATGTTTTAAATTTTATGAAAATTATATTGTTTACTCTCATTTTAATCAACGCGATATCATCATTGCAATAAAAAATCGGTTTTTTTTTAATATAAAACTTTTTTTTTTTAATATTTGATAAAAAATTTATGCTAAGCATTGAAATGTGTGCACTTAATGATATACCCCAAAAAATTTGACTCATTGTTTAATGTGCCGTGAATAGAAAAGAGTTGAAAATTGCTAGTATAATCGCGAAAGAGAGAGAATTGAATCCTTGCAGAAACAGTTCCCTTACAATTTCGCGTGTTCTAACATTCTGTTTGCTTTATCTTCTCCTTTTTTCTGCCATTTCATGCAGCACTTCAAGGCTTCTCGCCGAATCACAAAATTACCTCGTTCGCCGAGGCCAAGGGCTTGGACGCCATAAACGAAAGAATGCCACCGAGGAAAGATGCACCGCCTACGCCGGCGAACGAGGAGAAATCCGTGGCAAAGCCGCCGCCTCCTGCGGGAGACAAGCGGGACCACAATATGCCGCAACCGCAGTCGTGAGCCCCACACTCGTCCACTCAAGGTACACGTCCGCAGATTTTATAAACATTGAGAGACAGAGGAAAAGCCTTGCTTGTGCCTCTACCTGACTTTTTCTTTCTTGCTTTAGTTGTTTGGCGACCCATTTAGAGGGTCTTAGTAACCATGCGTACACTGAAAGAAAAGATTGGCTGCTGCAACAAATTAGATGATAAAATATGGCATAGCATTTTTAATTGACTGCAGCAACCATAAATTGGCTGTTGCAGCCAATTAAAAATGCTATAAATTTGCTGCAGCAGCCAATCTTTTCTTTCAGTGTAGCAAGTATTTATCCTTCTCGGGGAGCAGACATTAGATAGAGTGATGATCTCCAGGCATGAAACGCAAACATGAGGCACGGGTGGAATCAAACTTGGATCCACACTGAAGCCACTCGTGCCACCCTCTACCTAACTTAGTCAGTAAATTTCGCAGGATTACATGATATTTAGCACACTGTCTTAACCGACTTCGATGCTCTTACTCGAATTGAATAATTACTTGCCAAGGAGTTAATTATTAAGAGATTTTTTAATTTTAATCTTTCTCCTATGCCTTGTGAAATAATATGAATTTTTAGTCATTAATTTACGATAACCTAATGCTTTTTTAATAATGTGACAAAACACGCCTTAAGGATGTATCAGTTGTATACTCTCTGCAAGAAGTGATTGAGGAATTGAAAATTTATACTTTACTTATTTTTTATATGTATATACATATAAAACTGAAAGAGTTCAATAAGATCAACATTTATATTTAATGATACAATTTTATATTTTAAATAAAAATTTTTGCATTTTAGCTTAATTATTTTTTAAAAACATTACTTTTTATTGAAATATTTGATTCAAGTTCTAAATCGCTGTAAAACTTTTTTTATCATTTTTAAATGTTGTATTATATGTAGAAAAGTTTATAATTTTTTCATTTTGTTAAAAAATACGTAATATATTTTTAATATTATCTTCAATATTATATTTAATATATTAAAAATAATAGATTGTTATATTTTTTAAATATTATCTTTTGAAAAAGATCAATACATTTGGGTCGGAATATTTTTCATTTGATACCGCCACTGGGAAAAGAGTAAAGACGAGTGTACGCTACATATCTCACACATTAACATAAAGTGAACGTTTTTCAGATGGCGGATGGATGGATGGGTCCTAAGACCCCGGCGCTATCGCCGCCACCACCGAACATTTGCAAACCATTGCTCGTCTCTCCCCCCCCTCCCCCCGGCTGTTACAACCAGTGCGCTGTTCATCGAGGAGTCAGGAGAAACCATCGCCGTCGTAAGAGAAAAATCAGGAACGGACGGTTGCGAAGCGAAAGCGATTTTTCGTCGATGCGATTTTCAACGAGCATCGTCATCAGTCCCGGTGTGCGCATAGCAGAAGAAAGCAAGCAGTCAAGGAAAGGAGGCTGCATGAACATCGAGAAACGCCCAGCCGGGTGTTTCGTAGCGAACCTCCTCTTTTCCGAGGATTTGCCTCCGTATCTCTTTTTAGCGTACACTGCACTCGCGAATGGAGAATAAGAATGTTAGCCTCCCTTCTGCGATGAACCGCGCGCGTGCGATGTTCCCCGTTCTCTCGCCGCTCGTGCAATTATTCCTTGCTCTTTTTTTTTATCTCTGTATATCTCTCTCTTTCCTATATATTTATCCCCTTACCTTCGCCTCATTCTCCGTCTCTCCGCAATTCCTCGCTCTTCTCCTCTTCCCAGCATCCACGAACCTGTACACTACACTATCCGCGTGTTTCTCGCGAATTAATCGACAACCCAATGTACATACGCACGCGCGCATGTACGTACGTATCAACGACGAGCGGAACGGTATAGTGATATATCTTATAGGTAGATTCGTTTACACACGTCGAGATGTTCATGTATTAGGGAGGAACGACTTCCCCTGTCTTCACCGGGTATACCATTTCTCTCGTATATATATCATTTCTTTCTCCGGTGTGGGAAAGCGATGAGAGACGGAACGAACGACTCGCGCGCGGTTACATCTATATTAATGAGAGGAATCGCATAGACAGTGTGAAAGAGAAAGAATGAGAGGGAGAGAAAGAGAAAGAGAGAACGGACGAGCGGTCTCCGCCAAAGAAACAAAGAAGGCAGCTGGCCTGTCGTCACGGCGGAGCTTCCGGTTTTAGGATTTTACTAGGTTCTTAAGATGTGTCCGCCCTGGGTGACGCGCGTAAGGGCATCCCCCGCGCCACGGGGTGGGGTTACTTAAACCTTAAGTCGAGCTAAGCTTAGGGTTAAGTCGTAAATATATATATATATATATATATGATACCGAAAAATTTATTTAATATACATAAATATTATAAATATTATATATTATATATTATTATTAATTATTAATTATTATCATTATTATTAATTATTCATTATGTAATCCGAATACCGTGTTTTTCGCTGCCGCGCGTGCACACGTCCGTCACGATCACACGAAATAATTAACGCGCGAAAGAAATGCACGTCGAGCGCGCGCATTCGTTTCCAAGTACAGTCATTACAAACGCAATCTATCTTGGCCGTTCTGCTCCGAGGATTCATTCAACATTCTCGTTCGTGCGATATCGAAGAAAGTATCTCGTTTTCGTTGTATCTCCATTTCACGGAACAGTGCACGGCCATGATCTTATATACACAAGATATTCGTTATCTGTTAAATTATTGAGATGAATCTTGCCCATTGTATAACGATTATCAGGTCCAGCTGGTCTCAATAATAATTATCGCGTTTTTCGTTAAAACTAAACTATCGGTTATAATATCACGCAAGAATCTCGCTCGTATTACGCAGCGTAGCATCAGGCTGGAGTGTATCTTCTTATATGTGATCTCTATGAACTTCCGTTTTGTCATATATTTTGTGATATCGTAGAGTGAATTCTAGGACTACATATGTCGAAAACGAGGTAATTTTGAATAATAGTACTTTTCTTGACGAGAGACATTAAGAAAAGGCTTAATCTCGCATGAACGAGGATTCCAAAATATATGTATGTATCTATACATATTTTATCAGTGAGTTATGACACGCTCGTTTAGACATGTTATGCATATCTTTTGCCCCACAATTAGTCGCACAAGTTCGCTAGAAAAAGCCATATAAATTGAAACGATTGCAGGCATGCCTGATGGGGGGGGGGGGGCGGAAA